GTTTATACATAAGGCTTTTTAAAATATCTAAAAATTTCCTAACATTCTTGGCTATACCAAATCATAATTAAATATTTGCTTGTAAGTAAGATTTTCAATAATTCCAAAGAAAATCCATAATCTCCTCTCAAAATCTCATCTTTATATCAAAATTTAACCATAGCTCCATATATCCATCTTTAACATATATATAAAGTCATGACTTTCAAAAACTCCTTTACTTTGTATAGAATGTTCAAATTATAATAAAATCCCTTCAAAATATAATATTCTTACAAAAGATTTTTTCTTTTCAAACTTCAAAATTTAATATCTCTTGATCCAATTGTTCAATTTTTGCCAAATTTATAGATATTATAGAACTTATCCTTATGCTTTATCTCAAAAAATTTAACCATGAATTTTTTATCAATTTTTTGGCATCTTAAAATTTCTAGTAGGTGCTCTAAAATCTTAATTCATAAGCACCTCAATACTATTTTCTTCATATCTTACAAATCCAAAATCCAAATGCCACAAAACTTATATATATAGTTTAGCAATATAAAAATACACATTCTTAGAAATTTTCAGATAAAATCTTGTCAAATTGCACAAGATATAGCTCAAAATACAACTACTAGCAATTTGAGTCACTTACTATTCTTTAAATTCCAAGTCCTGACTTCAACTTCCAATATCTCTTTTATCATAGTTTAGAATTTATTGAGCAATATATACAAAGTATAGTCAAGAAAGTGTTCTCTTCAACTTTAGTTGCCAATTTTTTGTTGCATTCCATACGTGTGCATTATATCTAAAAGAGTGACAATAGATACCAAACCAATACCTTGACTTTGAGTGCCTATATGTCCTTCATAAAAACTCCAAATGACTCATAATTTGCACCAAATCCATAGTCAAAAACCTGGACTTTCCGATCATAGCCTCTGATGTTCAAATCCTCCCAAAAAACTAACCCTGATTCCTAATATGGCCTCAAGCAGCCTCCTTGAAGTCCATTGGTGATGATTTTTGACAAATAGGAATAGAGATTTAAATCATCCATTTCATTCATTCATATGGATGCCCTAACTATCTTTTTACTACTAAAATCTCTATTCAATTCTTTTTCATATAAGATTTATATATTATATGCTTTAAATACTAAATAAAAGAATCAAAATAAAACTTTAACGATCACCAATGTCTAATAAGGATGACTCTAAATATTTAAAAGTTACTAGTAATAAGATCAACTTCAAAAGTCACTATCAAAAAAAAGTAAAATTATATAAATTCTAATAGAAGCCCTTTTAAACAACCTCTTTTTGAGGCAGTAATCTATCTATATCCTATAACTAAAAAAAATACACTAACATGGCACTCACTACGTTGTCTGGTATATTATATATTAAATATATAAACACATTATTTTCACATGGTAGCTGAACCATAATACAACACTGAAAACTTTTAAACATAACAATAAAAGTGGAATAATCCACTCACTTCTAAAACAAGACAAGTACAATAAATTATCATTCTTGTCAAACTCTCAAAGACATAAACCTCAAAGAACTAAAATATCAATATATTCTTATATCACTCAAAAAGACTAAAAAATCACTCAAAGATGATATAATATTAAATTAGAATGACAATTGTCAAAGACAAAAAGACTTAGAAAGACTTGAGACAAGACGAAAGACTAGAAAGGCATTAATAAGAGTGAAGAAGGCTTCATTCTTATCTCTATATATACTCTTAACTAAGAGCTATATAGCGATGTCTTGTAAGACCTCCAAAACATGTTGACTTTTCAAGATACATATCTTAACTTGCAAGGCAAGTTTTTTATATGTGCCCTTCATAGTTAGTTTGTTCTAGAAGCTATCAATATGTGGTTAAGTTGTTGACCAAGTTTCTAATCTACTAATCAATTATAAACGCATATTAAGTCAAAACAACATTTATGAAGCTTCTAGAAAGCATTTTTAGAAAATATTATAAAATAAATCTATTTTTATCTATTTCTACTTAATCATATAAATAAATATAAATTAAATATATATATTTGTAACATATTTATATTAATATATATCAATATAAAACAAACTAATATATACTAACATATACATATATTAATACACACTTATATAATATACACCAATACAAAGTAAATTAATATATATTAATAGATACATACACTAATACACACTTACACTAATATATACCAACACATACTTATACTTACACTAATATATATTTATATTTAGTAAATTAATATATATTAATACATACTTATACTAATATTTACACTAATATATATTAACACAAATTAAACTAATATATATATTAATATACATTTATTAGCACTTACACTAATATACAATAATATAGAGTAAATTAATATATATTAAAACACACTTACACCAACACTTAGAGTAACATATACTAATACATACTTATACTTATACTAACATACATACACTTATATTAACATACACACATCAATACAAAGAAAACTAACATACACTAATATATACACACCAATATAGAACAAATTAACATATACTAATACATATACACACTAACACACACTTACACTAACATATACTAATATACTTACACTAATACACTTAGACTAACACTTATACTAACTAATACTTATACTAACATACACTTACATTAACACACACTTACACTAATACTTACACTAACTTACACTTACATTAACACATACTTACACTTACACTAACACTTACACTGACACTAACATACACTTACACTAACACACACAAACACAGAGCAAAGGGTGATTTCAAGCCCTAGTAACAAAGCTGGAGTGTTAAAATGTTTATGGTGAAGACAACAAAGCTGGAGGAGATGGGGGCCACAAGCCAAGCATAATGAGTCTCCCTTCCTAACGCCACCTTGCTTACTGTGGTGGTGGTGGTATTGTTGTTGTGGTTGGGAATTGTAACAACAGAGGCCATAGCAATAGCAATCCCAGCAATGGCAGGAATGGTAATTGCCTTATGTGGATCATCCAGCGTTGTCACCGGTGCCACTGGAGCTGGGGCACTTTTTCAACAGGGCCAAGGTGTCGCTCACCTACTGGGGCCTGATAGTTGGAGCCTACCAAAGCCTGTCCTCTCGACATGATCTCCTCCCCTTTCGCTTTTTTTTCGTTTTTTTTCTAGCACAATGACGTATGATTGTACGGAGTTTCTGTCCTGGAAGCTTCAATAGTCACGGATCTCACGTGACGTCCTGTCAGGATTCCACAGCACCAAGTGCAGCAGGTCTTCGGCACGAGGAGGGTTTGCGGAGGAAGAAGAGGATCAGGCTATCACTCCATGCTGCTTGTCGAAAATAACTGACTGAGAGCAAAAGAGAGAGTGAAACCATGCTTCGCGTTTTGCTCATGTGCTTAGAATATGGGATCACTGTGTGCTGGACGATCGGGTGCGTTGCACCGTGAGCCTGGATGTGGTGGGTTTCGTATGCTGGGCCACGGTCTGAAAAGTCAGACTTTGGTGGAGCTGGTGGAAACGAGGCGTCGCATTTCGACTTGTGGGTGGGTGAGAGATGAGAGCAGGGTGATGTGCTAGACCCGTGTGAAAACCACCCCCCGCACTCTGTGCAAAGCCTGCTTGCCCACATGCCGTGGTTGCTGTTGTGACCCCACCCAGTCAATGTTTCCAGGGAGCTGTTTTTGTCGGTTGTGGAACAGCTTCGATTTGAACTCCTCGACGTGGTCCTGACTTGTGGCTCGTATCGGTGTTGGATTTGGTGACGTTGTTGCTGATCAGATGTAGTCGTCATTGCTGCTCTTCTGTGGCACCTCACACGTAATGTGGGTCCCCTGGCAATACATGAAAGTGTGTTTTGAACTCTGACTGGGCTAGACCGCATTGCCGAGTGCAAACCGCAGCCGGAATGTTGGCTCTTCCTGTTTCTTCTTTGCAATGTCGCAGAGTAGTCAAGCGACAAGTTGGCTTCGAGAGGACAGTTGCAGATTTTAAATGCACGTTAATTTGGTCCTGAGCTCTATTCATTTCAGCTTCATTCCTTCCTTTGGGGATGTCTTCGGGCAGTACCGACATTTTCTAGCAAATTGTATCATGGCTTCTGTCGTTTGTTGGAAATCTCTAGCGCCATTTGCCTAATCGTTTTTACCTTCCAAAGTGAATGCCATTATTTCAAATGTGAGATCCCCACGATAGAAAATAAGGTAGTGATACAAAGAAACTGGAGATCGGAAGTTTGTCCATGTTGATCTGCTTTTGAGACCATTTTCACACAAAACCTGCCTGAGCAATACACCAAATTTATCTGTGCACAAAAGAATGTGAAGAAACCAAATACCTGAAGAGAAACTCCCGAAATGTTTCAAAGAACACTTGACGAAATCACTCCGTCGGGAATTTATCTGCAAACTCATTCCATTTCATCTCGCCTTTAATTTTTTACTGGGAACGTTTACAGCGCTCTGCGTGTTCTGTTGTGCTCGATGAGATCACCCCGGGGTCAAAATAAAAGGCAAGACGACGATTAGATACTAATCTCATCCACAGAACAGACATTCTTTGGAATAGATCTGCATGGAGAATATCTGACAACTGTAATCTAACGACAACAGAATTTAAATTGATGACAACATAATACTACGTTTTCATAGAACTGCAAAACCAGAAACTTCAAAGAAACTGGGAAAATGAACTTCGCTTCCTTGATGGCTTTCTACCATCAGTCACTTCACAAATGCCTACTTAAGCAGGCTTATCAAACTTCGAGCAGGTCCATACTGAAGCCTAGCAAAACTTTTCAATGAACATCAAAGGTAACTGCATCCAAATGAGCAAATATGGAGTCTTCTGCACCAACAATTCACTTCAGGCACTGATTTAAGTTTAAGTAACAAACACCGACCAACCAGGTACTACTTATAAGCCATCACTCTAGATTTACCGCACAAAGACCAACGGGTAAATACTGCAAGTTTGACAAAGCTCTAAAGTTTCTAAATTATATAAATTATAAAAAGACACAGCGGCCGTACATAAAAATAAAAAACTGGAATACACAATGATAGCATTATAGCTGCTATACCGCAAAAGCCGAAATATATACTGATAGCATTCTAGCTGCTAAACGTCACTGAGCTCACACTGAACGTTTACCTCCCATGACGGGCCATTTCCACTAGATCAGCTTAGCCTAATGAAAAGTTCTGAAACGTGGAGACATCAATCACGATCCCAGCATGACCCTAGGTACTTGAAATACAGCCTACTGAAGAATCGCCGACGACATCTTCATCACCGCCCATACCAGCCTTTTGCGGGTTGCTGACCCTCATTTCCGCCACTGGAGTCACCATTCATCAACTTGTCGAGTACTACATTCAAATCCACAGTTGTCCCGTTTTCCATTAATTTCCTAACAATCGCCCGAACCTGATCCCTCCCAAACCCCATGCTTGCAACTTTATCAATCACTTCATCGATTGAGACGCGGTTGGCAGCCACTGGAGCTGTTCCCCCTGTAGACAACGATGACGGTTGAATTGACCGGGCTGTGGGTAGCTGCGGATAACCTCCAGATGCAGGACTACCAGGTTGAGCCATGCGATACTGAGGAGGAGCATACTGGTTGTATCCCTGGGGTCCATCCCGGTCTTGAGAAGGATAAGCTTGTGGTTGATACGGTCCAGGCGAAGGAGGCGTACCACCACCATGACGGCGAGACTCATACATCTGATTACCACTCTGCCCGTGTTGTTGATGCTGGCTGGTCGGCAGTTGTGGTGGCACTTGACCCATTGAGGAAGATGGTGTAGGCAGTGGCAAGAAACGAAGCTCGTAGCCTCCAGGCACTGGTTGAGGAGGGAGCGCTTGACTGTAGCTGCCCTGCGATGTTCCATAGGGATTAACGTCTTGGTTGAGACTACCATAATGCTGCGCCACGGGGGGAGCTGGGCCTGTTTGTCCTTGTTGCAGTTGCTGTTGCTGAACGTAATGAGGTGAAGCATGCGACGAATGTTGAGGAGCAACCGGTAGCACTTGCTGAGTTGGGTACTGGGGATCGGGTTGATTCTTAGTGGGCACCTGCAGCTGTAACTGCTGGTGTTGCTGGAGATGAGGGGGGTGTTGAGAAGGCTGGACTTGAGGACTTTGCGGAAGTAACTGCGAAGCCTGAGGACTTTGAACCTGAAGATGCTGCTGAGGCGGAGGCGGAGGCATCACTTGCATTTGCATATGCTGCTGAGGAACAGGAGGGATCTGCCCTTGCGCTGGGATTTGTTGATGCTGGGACATAACAACTTGTCCCTGCGGATGCAACTGCTGGTGCTGAGGATGCAAGGTTGGTCCTCGCATTTGGAGCTGAGGATGCTGCAGAGGGGGTCCCATACCAGACATCTGTATCTGGGGTACCGGCGAAGGAGCCTGGAGCTGCTGAGATGGCTGGGGCAATTGGTGTGCAGAAGGCTGAAGCTGCTGAGATTGCTGCTGTTGAAAAACCGGGGCTGCTTGTGCACAAGGGACTTCAAGAGGTTTCATAGCGGAGGTTGGCGGTGGAAGTGCGAGGGGCGCTTCGACAGCCCCGACTTTGGGCATCGAAGTAACTGGTGGAGACTTCTGACGCTGAGCACTTAATTGAAGCTTTTCGAGCTTCATCTGCTCTTCGGTAATTTCCTGCTTATCACGAATTACCTGTACACTTCGTTGAACCTGAGCAATACGATTCAAAGCATTTAAATTGGTCCTGCTGAAAAGAGAAGCATATTCGAGAATGATGTCCAGTGCAGCGATTGATCCGGTCCATGAGGCGATCAACGACCGTTGCACTATCGACAAGAAGGAGATATAAGTAATTTTATAATTCAGAGGTAAAATCATGAATTCGATTACCGGAAATGATTTCAATTAAACAAATAATTATTAGCTGACGGTCGCGAATCGAATAAATAGATGGGAAATTCGATACAAGACTACAGAAGTTGCTCGCACTAATCTACCATATAATACCTTTCAACTTCATGTCATAAAACATAGAAGGTCCATAACAAGGACAGGATTACCTCTCGAATCATGTTCTCCAACGACATCAACTTCCCATCAGTTGCACCGAAGTTGTTAGCAGCATCAACCTTAATTTTATCGACTGAATGCTCCACTCGAAGACTGTTGACTTCTAACTGAGTCAGTCGGCCGCTCATGCCCTCCAAAACCCGCAACAGATTGTCTGCATACTTCTTCACTGTCCGTTCTACAGCTGCTAAAGTGGCAGTGTCGACATCATCGATGTCGGGGCGCACATTCAAGTCATATGACGGAGCATGATTGCACTGCTCCACCAAAGCCCTCTCGCAATGTTAAATTAATGGTAAACATCATGATAACAACTGCCTCCTCGATGCTATAGCTACTTGAGCACACAGCCAAAATCCCCTCAAATGAATCGCCCAACTGTGACGGCAAACTTAGCCTACGTTTGGTGCAAACTGACAACACTGCGAACATGTCCTTGTTACTCGTTCATATTCGCATATACCCCGAACTAAGTTTCAACGTTCCAGCAAATTTAACACCAATAACAAAATGAACAAACGAAAGCGATTAAAGTTTTAAAACTCAAACAAAGGAGAAGGACAAGGAACCCACAGAATTTGCAGGTTGAGACTGCCAAACGCGCTTGATGCTATCCATCTTCTCCTTGCCGCATCCGTCCACCATTGGCTGGAAATCCAATCCCGGTAATACGTCGTCATTGGCGAAGTACACAGGCGGAGAATTTTGCGACCCGTAGTAACCGGAATTTGTGTTTGATTGCAGTAAGTCAAAGAATGGCTCACCCTGCGGATACTGATTCCCGTTTGAAGAGAACCCCAGACGATCCATCGCACATTAACCACTCGAGCCCACTACCTTCCTCCTACACCATCTCAGCTCTCCAAAATTGACTCACACTCAATTCCAAACGTCGAAATCCAAGCCAGCATTCTCAATTCGCACCCCTACATGAAACGATCCGACCATCAACCTCGATGACTCCCCCACCACTTCTCCAAACCAAAATCCGATCAATCGAAACCCTTAATCATTACAATAACATTTCCAACCCAACGCAACCCCAAATTCACGACCAAAAACACACTAGATTCTATCAATCCCACTTTAATTCGACAAAGTAACACAGTTTCGTTCCAATTTCAAACCCCAACGCTGAAACTCACCTCCAACGCAACCAAACCTCGACGAATTCAAGGAGACCAGAATGCAGACTCCCTCCTTTGCATCCAAAGTCACAGCGCACTCGAAACCCCACGGCACTCAATCGTCCAAACAACAAAATTGGAGAAGCAACCAAAAGGCAAAGACGGCAAACTACTCGAAGGTGCTGAAACACAACAATCCGACAAAGCACATCCACTGAAACACAACGATCGCAACAAGGATGAAGCACGCGACGATGGCTCTGTGTGGCAACAACGCGAGGAGCATTGTCGACTGGGCATGATGACCCCGGGGAGAACCAGCGAGGAAGACGAGCGCGGTCAAACAAACTCCTTTCCATGACCGCGCTTTCTCCGTGGGTGGATGAATGAAATATGTTCAAATCATCCGTTCCCCTTTGTGAATAGTCGGAGGTTTTCAATCTTAGTGTCTTTGTTGGCATTTTATGATAAGAATTTTCGTGTTTCTTTTACATTACTCATGTTTGTGCAAGTTGATCTGTTTGGATATTTTAAACGGCTTACACTTATCTATGATAAAGTATTTGAGCATCTCCTTAATGTGTTTGTATTTGGTTATAAAGATGTTTTGTTTGGTGCAAAATCTCTTAAATTCTTTGCTATAAAAATAATCAATATCAAATTACTTAATAAAATATCTCCAAAAAAGAATTAATATTTTCCTTTAATTACTTTGTAATTCTCTTGTTACTTCTTGAAGATAATCACATCATCTATATATAACATCCTAATCAATAATTATTTATTAAAAAAATATCATACATATTCCTCAAATATGTCAAAATATCAAGAATACCCTTATATTATTGATAATAATATATATATATATATATATATATATATATATTTATCCATAGAATCATTGATAATAGCATATATTCCCTCTATCTTGATAAGATATTAGAAATCTAACTATTCTATTAATGTTTTAGTTTTTATTTGGGCCCAATTAGTAGCTTTTGTGATTTAGGGTGTTAGAAAGAGAAAAAAATGGATCCCACATGATGTGTATTCTTGAGAAAATTTTCAAAAAAGAGAGAGTGAGAGAGAGAGAAAGTGAGAGAGAGAGAGAGAGAGAGAGTACCATAATTGTCCAATTATGTACAACATGCAATTCTATTTCTTTTGCCAAAACATCTCATTGTCCATTGTCTCTTCTTGTAGAATTGTATCATAGAAACATTATTGATCAATTAATTGACTCAAGACATTTAGGCCATAAGATTTTCAAATTGCATTCTTGCTATAATAAGATTTATTAGGAATGGAAGGAAGAAATAGAAAGGAATCAAAAGGTGAGTAAATTAGAAGGTGGAAAATTAGGACCTTAGAATCTATTCTTGATTGGACTTGCATGGATCCATATTGTACTCTCTAATTGGGCCTACATTGATCTACATTTACATGAATGAAGAAATTTATTTAGGAGATGTCTCTAAATACTAATTTTTAACCATTATTCTTATTTCATTTTTTTTAAATATATATGACTATTACTCAATGGCAATCATATATATATATATATGATATTTTTATTTTTTAGAAGAATTTTGTGATTTAAATTATTTTTTTATTAATTATTTTTTAAATACAAATACTTTTTAAATAAAGATTTAATATTCATTATTTTTTATAAAAAAATAAAATATAGATTGGCATTATTTTAGTTTATTTTATTTTTTAATAAATATTTGAAGTACACATAATCTATTAAAAATATTATAAAATTTCTCTTTAAACTATTTTGCAAGTTATAAAATATTTTCTACAAGCATTATATATCTAAATAGTTTTTCAATTAAAAAAATGAAATAATCATAATAATATGATCATAAAAACCACTTCTAAAATGAATCTTTATTATTTATCATGGTAAATACTATATACAAAATATCATCAAATCAAATCAAATTTGTATACAAAGCACCAAATTTTGCATTCACACTTTTAACAAAAATCTAAATCTTTAAAGAATAATTTTATATCTTAGGTAATATTTCATCATTTTTTATTTAATATAATATTATTATCTTTTTTTATAATCATATTTTAGTAATTTTTATACTTAATTTTGGTGATATTAATAAAAAAAATATTAGAATCACTACACTTTGGACATGCTTCTTTATATAGTTTAGGTAATTTTACTTATATATGCTTTTTCTAAATAACTTCTTATCTTTGTCATAAAACTTTGAGTTTACTAGGTTTTGACACTGTTTTTCAAGGACATGAATTGGAAGAAGATGCATAAACCTTGAAAAGCTATGTCAAAAGAAAAGTGACAAAATAACAATAAAGTAGTATGTATATTAAAAAAAAATTAAAATAGCTATTGCCAAAAGACAAAGAAATTAAAAAAATCTTAAATTTAAACTAGAAGCAAGAAAGCAATTGACAAGAGTACAAAGGGCTTCACTCTTGCCTTTGTATATATTATCTAACTAGGAGCTACGTTGTTGTGTTGTAACACGTCTATATGATGAAAATATAAATGAAGAAGACTTATTAATATTTAGTCACCTTGGGTATTAGAAGCGGTGGCCAATTCCAGTGCAAATACTAAGAGGCCAGGTTCAGTCACCCCGTTACAATCAGCCGGGGCATACTCACCAGTAACGAAATGCTCCGTTCGATTCCAATAACAGGAGTCAGCAGAAAAGGAAAGGACCAATTCAACGATGGGTGAGCCTGGTTCGAAGAGCCAATTAGATCCAATTTCAGAAGACCTCGAATCCAGGTCCTATTACGGGCCTCTTACCCAATATGAGACCTAACTTGGTCGGGCAACCCAATGTGGTCCGATTATGGACTTCGATTTCGTTTCAGGTTGTTCTGATTCTTTGTACCGTTCCAGGAACGTCCTTTCGGTAAAAAGTTCTCTCAAAGGCAAAAATGGGGAGAAAAAAGCTCTGTCGGCTGTTCCAATTCGGGGAATCCAAGGCAGAAGAATAGGATCTTCTTAGGGTTAAAGGGAAGGATAGGTTAAGAAATGAAAGGAGGAGAATCAGGGTTTTAAGGATCGGAGAGCTAGCTTCATGCTGAAAAAGATAAAGAGTTGGGGATTTTTTTTTCTTCATAGGATTTTGGAAAGACTAAGGCAATCGTTGCTGAAAGTCAGTGATATATTGGTGAACTAGATTTTTTTTCTGAAAGAGAGAAAAGGCTGGTACTCTTGATTGTTGATGAAATGGGAGATACTTCTGTGGTTGAAATTCAGAGTTGTCTAGAAGGTTGAATATGCTGAATGCATGCATGGTTGTATTAATCTGACTGTACGGATAGAGGATATCTACCATTAGTTTAAAGAGGTTTTGGGAGTTGGCAAATTGAGATTTGTTTAGGGTTTCTATGATAACTGGGGACCTACCGACATGGATAAGAAGAATATCAGTGAGCGGCCAAGGGACATCGGTGCGGATTGCAGCATAGCCTCACAATCTGTAAGCGGGGTTGAACTGGAACTTCTTGAGCATTCGAAAGGGCTTGTAGAGGCACTAGCGATAGATGTTTCACAACAAGTCGGAAGGACAGATTGAGGATCACAGCTTGCCAAAGTTCACGATCCAGGATTAAGGTAATTAACGATAAAGATAAAATAAAAAACATAAAATAAATAAAATAAAATAAAAATAACAAAAGAGATTAAAGTTATATAGGATCTCTAAGTATTTTATATTGAAATTAAGCTTTTACATTGCAATCTGATATAGATTGTATTTGGATAGTCAAGAACATGATAGACTGCTTGAGTACTAGCGAAACACCATACTACCTCCTACAGCCAGATGCCCAGTGCATTCTCAAGCAAGTTAGCACGTAATACGATAATGTGGTGATATTCTATAGGACTTCTAATATGTGTTGACTTTGCAAGACACATGCCTTAGCTTATAAGGTAAGTTTTTCATATGTGTGCCACATAGTTAGCTTGTTTTTCAAGCTACCAATATGTATGTTACATGGTTAACTTGTTGACTATGTTTCTAAACTAAAAAATCAATTATAGATAACTATAAAATCAAAGCAATATCTACAAAGCTTATAAGAAGCTTCTATAGAAGATATTATGGAATTAACCTATTTTTACTTATTTTTATGTAATCATATAGATAATTATTGATTTACATGTATATGTCCATGACATTATCCTTCTTTCTAAGAACAAGTTCCATGAGGAGAAGTCATTATATGTTGCAGAAATTCAAGATGCAGAGAATTATATTTGCCACATACTCTAATCTTTATTCTCTTCAAAGATGGTTGATGGGGCCTTTCAACCATCAATAGTGTTTTATACCAAGGCAGAAAGATCATCCAATTATTTGATTGTTGTTGAGGCCTTCATAACTTTTTTCAAATAAAACATATAGAACGCCATTAAGAATTATTCCTACATCTAGTAAAATCATCAAACATCAAGAGTTCCTTTCAAGGTCGTGATACCAAATGTTTTGTATCTCGCCATCCATTTGAGGAAGTATAAATTGTTCTTAACGATATTTATCTCTATTGCATTGTCTTGAAGGATTGTGACAATCATAATGTCTCGTCCGAAAAGTGAGCAAACAAAGGTTCTTGAGTCAAATCCGTTGATTGTTGATTTTTCATTTCTTTAGTATCATAAATATATAGAAACCACAAATAAAGATAGAAGGTAGAATGTAATCTTCTTTAGATAGTGTTTCTTTTATAGAAAAGACTTACTATTTTTCATCTTGATTTTGATGGAAGTCGTTGATGAAAAGTATCTACCTCCTTTGCTACATTTGTAAGATTCTTTATTTGCTCCTATGTATATTCATTAATATCATATCTATCCTAATGGATAAGATATTCTAATTTATTTTGGCACCACCTTTAAAATCTTAAAAAGAATTCTTGAAAATCTTAATACAAATTGTGTCCTTCTATTTGATATAATATCTTTTGGCAATCCATGATATCAATAGATATTATCAAGGAAAAGCTTGGCAGTTTCTTTACTTGTGATAAATTTTATGTATGGTATAAAATGTGCCATTTTGATAAAACAATCTACTATTACAAATATAAAATCTCACAAACTTGAGATTAAAAGATTCATAATAAAATCCATAGAAATAGAAGACCATAGTTGTTTTGAAATAGGTAATAGTTGAAGAAGTCTATAAGGTCAATGATGAGAAGTTTTTGACCTTGAAAAAATATCATGTAATTGAACAAAGTCTTTTATAGCCTTTCACATTTGTAGCCACCAAAAATCTATAGATAGT